CCGAGACGGTAACCGCTGAGCAACTGCTGCAGTCGGTGGACGAGCTGAAGTATCTCCAGCCGCTGGCAGCAAACATGGCTAAGATGGTGGGTACACGCGAGTCTCGTTCTGCCTTGAAGGCCTTTCGCTCGAGTATGAAACGTTCGCAGAATATTGCCCAAACGATTGCGGAGAGCTCTGCGGGCTCGTCTGGGTCGCCTCTGACTGCAGTGAAGACGGCGATAGAGGACAGTGTCTCCGCGTTGTCTCGGCTGTACGAAGCCTCTCGGAAGTACGGCCTGTCTCTGGCGCAAGGGGTACAGAAGGAACGGCCTCCTTTTTTTTCAGAGGAGGAGATGCAGTTGCTGGAGGATGACTTGGGCAAGGGCTTCAGGGAATTTATGGATTTTCGCGAGCAGAACATGAAATCTTCCTTCCCGATATTTGTGCAGAAGGCGGAGAAGGCGGCGGTGAATCTAGAGGCGCTGCGGCGCCTCGAAACCACGGATGACCTACATTTGCTGGTGGCGGTTGCTAGAAATCTAGAAACGGTCAAGGTAGTTAGTGATGCCGTGCAGATATTATCTAGGTCTTCTGATATCATCAGGTCCAGTGCAGCAGCAGTGCTGCGCAGGCAGCACCAGCGGGAGCACGCATCCATACGGCGCGACCTAGAAGGGAAACTAGGGGAATTGCACATTCTGTGTAAACTGGAGCGGCGCCGAAGGCAGCTCCAACCCGAACAAGATCCCAGCGTCTCAAAGGCCCTCGACTGCCTTGAAGACCAGCTGAACATATGCGAGCAGCAGCTTCAGAAACACAAGGAGATGATCGAGCGGATGGAAGAGGCAGACAATATTCTCTTGGCAAGCAACGTGGAGCAGCAGGCCAGGACGGTAGTTGACAGCCTGAAGGCCTTGCTGGAAGCTGCCGCCAGCGACAGGAGTTCGATTCCCGGTGCCTTGAGCGGGACAGAAGCCGCCCAGAGCGAGGAAATGCAGAGTCACCGTACGGCAGTGGCCTACAGGGCCATCGTAAGCGCGGCAGCGCAACGAGGGAAGGCAATTGAAATGCTAAGCGTGGCGGAAACGCACGGGCCCGTAGATTTCATCTTGCCATGGAATCGGGGAGGGGAGGGAAGCAAACAACCTCAGCCACCGAGGCGTGTGAATGCCAAATTGAAGAAGCTCATGGACAAGGCGTTCAGGCAGGTTGTGGATGCAAATGCTGCTATGCGCAAGCCTCTTAATGCAGACGAAGAGACGGAGGAGGGACGCAGCAGCTCAGAGATCCTTATGGAGGAAATGTTGCGTGCATCGCGAAAGGCCGCAAAGGCTTCAGAGGCCTTCGTCCACGATGTGGAGCTTATGTGGCTGCGTGCGCAGCTTAACAACTCCCTGGACCTCGACATGCAGGTGAGTTCCACCTTGGTGCAGAAAGCAGCCGCCGTAGTACGCATGGCAGAAGTGGAGAAGGACCAAATGCAGCGCTGGGGTGTTGAAATGTCTGCCGATGATATTCAAAAAGTTAACAATATGCTGGAGCAGTTCAAGGATCTCGAGGAGGACGCGCAGTCTGCTAATGCTCTCAATGAAATGGCTTCAGCAGCAGCAAAGATGAAGGAGGCGGCCTTACAAATCACGACTTTTGTTGAGGAATGTGAGAAGCAACCAACGAGACGCTAAGGGCGAACAGCAAGAAGGGCTGAGGGCAACGCCTATTTGAAGCTGACAGGCGTGGAGCATTTTTTTGTTGTCTATCTCCCCTTTCCTCTTGAGTGCCAAAGTGCCCCGAATAGCTCAACAGCATGCGAAGAGGATAGGAGAACAAGTACATTGGCAGGCGAGGCGAAAAGTGGCAAGCAGCTGGTGACAGACATCGAGGGTGGCCTTTAGAGGGCTGCACCTGTATAGCCGTTCCCTATGGGAGGAGCAGATATGCTTGGATATTCCGTTTGAACGCTATGCTTGGTGAACTTTTGTCTCGCAACGGAATGCGCAGGAAACAGCAGCAACAACAGGGGAGCCGTAGCCACTTTGCGTTGTTGCTTTGTTTGCAGCTGCAATACGTATGCATCCCAGGCCACCCTGCGCAGCACGAGAGCGCAGGGCCGTTAACTGGGGCTGTCTTCTCCCATTGCGCTGTTATGCAGTTCCCCGTGTCTATTCTAGCTAGACGGAGTTGCGGGACTCACTGCGGTTTAGGTGGCTTCAAGCATTCTGCGGCCTGAAGCAGCTGTCAGCAGTCCCCTAGGGCAACAACCACAGTTTGCCATCTAGGCCTATTTAACTATATGCTGGCGTAGAATAGGACTGTTGATTATGTCTCTGGAGGCACACTGCAGGGAAGCCCTATATATTATACGGTAAACAGATACGTATGTCTGTGTGTTCATGCGTACTTCCCATTTCTATGTTGCAAATACAGGTGTTTCAGGTGTTCCGTGTGGTCATTACCGCCGTCTGTTTAGCCAGTATGAAGAATGCTGCGCAGTCGCTGCTGCTGCCGTCCTTACTTCTACGCATACGGGACATCATTTTGCTCGGCGGTGCGTATTCGTGTGTCCGTGGCTGTGTTGTAGACGCCCTGTGCGTGTGCCTGCCATTACTGTGATTGTTTCGGTATCCCTTCTTCCTGTCGTCCTTGCCGCCGCATGAAGAGTATCTTGTCACACGCTCATCAGCGGCGGGCGTTTCGGAATTAACTATTTATTGCTAATCACTCAGGCCGCTTTGACGGGCCCCTCCCTCACTGGAAACCTGCACAGATAAAGGGCATAGCTGCGGACAGGAGCAGAGACAATAGATGAAGAGCCTTAAGCAATGCAGGGACCAGCCCAGTCCTCCATTTGTGCCCTGGCTCGAGAACGGTTGAGGAGCGCTGCTAACCAGAAGGTTTCACAAGGCATCTGCGGCAGCAGGCGTTTCGCCAGCAATAACTGCTGCTGAAGCACGTTCGTCCTATTCGGTGGAACGACTTCACGCAGTGGCTTGAGCGTAAACCTAAGCAAGATACCCTGTGTTCGAATGTCGGTAGTCTCTACGCAGAATTCGGTAGCGCCAGTAGAGCAGGCAGCGCATCTGACACCAATCCCAGCAACGCTCACCCCAGCAAGGCAAGTGCTG